GAGGCTTCACCAGAGACAGAGTGGGGAGCAGAACAGGCAGATCGACGAAGTACACTGCTGAGGGGAGCAGCGGGCGGGTCAGAAGAGGTCTGCCGTGCCATGTGGTCACCTCTGGGGCAGGCGGGGATCGAACTCATGCGGAAGTGGCTTTAGGTTTTTAGTGCTGTGCTTTAACCCGCTACGCCACCAGGGAGGGCCTATCTTTTATTTTGAGGAATGTTTGAATCAGTATTGTAGGATCCCTATTTGTAATTCAAATTAATGATAAAGACTAGTTCATTCCACATCATGAAAATACAGTTTCCTCAAATGTTTTGGGGAGAAAGAGAAGGGAGGATTGTTAGACATAACACAGGAAAAGTAGTTGATCTTGATCAAGTTGTTAATATTTCGACAAATACTAAACCAAAAGATGTCTTGCTCCCATTAATGCATCATCTTTAGTATTTGTTATCTTTCTATATCTCTGGAGCTCAAGAAGCTTGAGTCAAGTCTTAAGTTTTTGGAAGTACTTCTGTATGATCCCCACTGGAGATGACAAGAAAAAATTTTATGGCTCAATTGTCAAGACTTATCTGTAGTTCTAGGCCAGACCCTAACTTTTTCTTTAAAGTAGATTTTGGAAATAATTTCTGTTGAGTGTTTGAGGTAATATGGGAAATGCCAAAACGATGATGTTTGGAAGAAATGAAGAATATCTGTGCATTGTTTTATATGCATGTGTTTTTAAAAGATTTATTTTTTTATGCTTCTAAGAACTGGGGTACAGGCCAGAGGTTAAGGGTGAAAGGGTTCACCAGACACAGAATAGAGGTGGTTCTGCTGAAATACACTGCTGAGGGGAGCAGTGAGCAAGACAGGAGAGGTCTGTTGCACCATGAGGGTCAGCTCCCTGGCCTAGGATCACAATTGTGCAGCAGTGACTGCACACAGCGTCATAGTGCTGAGACTTAAATTAACCCCTTGTGCCACCCTATTTTATATATTTTAATGCTCACATGTCACTTTAAAATTTTTGGTTTATATTTTACTTAAAAGCCTTAATGTTTTTAGGTCATTATAGGTAATACTTAAGGTAACTTAAAATGTCACTCAACTTCTTTTACTTTTTTTAAAAAGGTTTTAAATATGTAGTTCTGTAGAAAAATAACTAGTGAGGCGAATACAGCTAAATTAGCATGATGAGAGAGAAGAAATTCAGAAGTTAACGGGGCGATCTGAATTCTGATCTTGATTCTGTTATTAAATATTGTATGACTTGGTTACGCCAGTGAGCCACTTGTGCCTAGATTTTTCTTTTTGGTAAAATGAAAAGGTGGTTGGTGAACTAGAGTCCCATCTAATTTAAAATTCCACAATTCAGGAATGTCAGAGCTCTACTATTGAACATATTAGCAGCTCAGCCTTAATTATTGACTACCTCATGTGTTTTTTTTTTTTAATTTCCTCTAGGATTACTATAAAACAGGAATAATTCGTTGTCCTGATGGAATATCTATTCCTGAACTGAGAGAAGCATGTGACTATCTTTGTATCTCCTTTGAATATAGTACTATTAAATGTAGAGATCTCAGTAAGTATAATGTATGAGTTATGTATGTGAGTGGTTTGTAGAGAGTTACAGTTTAATGGAAGAAAAAGTCTGAAATAGTGCTACTTCTGATATTTTCTTGAATCATAATGCATTCTAGTGACCATGAAGTTTACTTATGGAAGATTACAGAGATGTTAATAAACTACTTGTGCAAATTTTTTTCAATTTTAATAATTGCAACTTTTTTTTGATAAACCCTCCCAGACTTCCCTCTTAGGTATATTATCTTTATCATTTTTTTTTGCAGTTTATCTCTCTAGTTTATAAGCTCTGGATTTGGTTAAGTACGGTGTTTAGGTTCATTCCTCACATCACATCAGTGTCAATTACAAATCAAACATTTATAGCTTTTTTGTTTTTTACCATGTAAGATAATAGCTTAAGCCAATATAAGGGATATAAATATTTTTCAAAAATAATTTTTGCTATTTAAAAACTTCAGTGACTTCATCTCTAACAATTTCCAAATATGGTCTCAGAATAGGGTCTAGTACTTTGGAATCTGACTCTTTAGTTGATATCCTCCACTTAACTACCTCCCCAGCACTGTTTTGCCAAACCTGAAAAATAAAAAGTGATTATACATAGGAAAACAAAAAATAGCATATTAGAATTATTAAATGTTGATTTGGGCTAATAAGTGGTTGGATATGTTCAGAAGGGAGAGGTAATGTGAGCTAGAGGTACTGGGTTAGAGTTAAGAGTACACAGCTAGTTCACAGCCAGTAAAGAGTGAATAGGGATGATTTAGAAAGAGTTTGGAGGTCATTGTAATGAGCTGAGGATTTTGGAATAAGATGTAAAAGATACACTTTGGAAATTATTTAGTTGGTGTTGAGACCAAGAGGAAATAGGAATAAGTAGGTGGACCAGATTATGATTGGTCATTAATCGAAACTAATACTCCATTAAAAAAAAAAGATTTATTTATACATACAGAACTGGGGTACATGCCAGAGGTGCAGGGGAGGTGAGAGGATTCACCAGAGACAGAATAGGGAGCAGAACAGACAGATGGACCAAGTACACTGCTGAGAGGAGCAGCAGGTGAAACAGGAGAGGTCTGCTGTACCATGTGGATCACCTCCGGGGCTGGGATTGAACTCACACTGAAGAGATTGTGGCTAGCTTGCAATGCTGTGCTTTAACCTGCTGCGCTGCCAGAGAGGGCCCTAATAGTCCTACATTTTATCCTAATGTAGCGGGAGGTGTCTGACCAATGATTACTGTGTTACCTTAGCTCAACACTAGCTTGGCAGAATTGTCTTCTCAAAGGTTGGTGTGTTAGGAACTCTCTGTGGGAAATATTACTAAAATTTGAAAGCAACTACTATGCACTTAAATACGGTTATCCATCAGACTTAGTTATGACTTACCAGTTTATTTTTGCTGAACATTCTTAAAAGCTCCCATAAAATGTCAAGGTGAAACAAAAGATGTGAATGGTTTAGCTCTGAATCCACTTTTCTCTGAATGGTCTTTAAACTTTTAAATTAAAATAGTTGCACACCTGGAAGATGTAACAGTAAACTTGAACAAAGTTGCTATATTTTTTAAACATCTTAGACATTTTTTAAATTAAAACCTTGAACACTAATTATTATAATTATAGACCCTTCAGGTTTTTTTAAATTCATGGGATCAGGAATTAAACTTCATTTAATTATATGTTGAATTTTGACGAGTGTCAGATTTTTTTTTAAAATTTATTTATTTGTGTATACAGAACTGGAGTACAAGCCAGAAAGCAAAACCCTATTTAGAAGGAATGTATACACTCATGTTCATTGTAGCAATTTTTACAGTAGCCAGTCTCTGAAAACAATCCTTAGTGCCCTTGCCCAACAACAGATGAGTGGTTTAAGAAGGGGTGTGTCTGTGTTGTAGAGAAAAAACATCTATCCTCATATACTATTCAGATGTAAAAAGAAAATGATGAAATCTTGCCATTTGTGACAACATGTATGGAACTGGAGGGTATAACGCTAAAAGTAAAATAAGTCAGAAGAAGAAAGACATACTGGATGATTTCATTGATGTGGGACATAAAACCAGGGAACAGACAAAACAAACCCTAGAAATATTACCACAGAATTGAGGGTACCAAAGGAGGAGGGGAGTGGTGAGCAGCAAAGGCAGTAAGGATCCTGGGCTTTGGTGAAGAACTGGGTGGTAGATATGGTATGGAAACAGATCCAAGGTGTTGTAAACAGTTACCTTAGAATCATACTTTAAATTAAAATACAGTACCAAAAGAGGGGAAACTATTCAATTGAAGAAAAATGATGCCATCAAGATCAAAAGATATTCATTGTCCTTGCTATCTACAGGTCATTTGCATACCATATGAAGAACATGGAATGCAGATTGGAATTGGTTTAGAAGTTAGGGGAAAGAGAATATATTGGTTAACATCTAGGAGTTTGTAGACAAACTCAAATTTTGTAACAAAATTATTTAAGTTGCCAGTCTATAGAATGACAGAACTAAATAATAATGAAAGATTATTATTTAATCATTTATATTATTTTTTATATAATTAGATAGTATTGCAGGCAGGGGTGAAAACTCTCTCTTGGCAGACTATAGAATTTTGATCATCCTTGTTGCTCCTGATATCTTAGTTTTAAGTAGGATATTGGCCATTGCCATTAAAATTGGAATAAAGGAAAAGAAGGAAGTTCACTTGTGGCGGTATACTTGGGAAGTTCAAGTTGTATATTTAGGAGGGCCAAGTATATCTTTGTATCTTTTTCCTCCAACTGTCATTCATGCCAGGTCTATTGTTTAATTCATGTCCCATGCTTTATTTCACCTTTGGTGTTCCCTATCTAAAAATTAGTTGACCCATCTCAACTCATCCCTCTTAGTACATTGAAGTGTTAATGCTGTTTGTGAACATTTTTTTTTCAAATATGGGAAATGGAATATGGTAGTTTTTGAACAGTATCCTTAAAGTGTACCATAAGGTAAAATCCATGTATTGATTGAAGACAACTTATACAGTAAAAAGTACCCTGGGCTGAGAAAGGGGGGATGCTTGTGACCTTGCAAGTTATTGCATGATATGCAAAGATGGGGCGGGGGTAGTGTTGAATGTCTTTTTTGTTGTTCCATCTTGTAAAATTATACAAATCCATGAACACTCTTCATAGGGAAAGTTCTGGTACCTTAAATATAATAGAGAATATTGTCTCTGGTATCAAAATAGGTGCTGAGTTAATTCAGTGGTTTGTCTCTGTTGCTTCTGCTCCTCTTTTACTTATTAGTCATCCAAAAACATCAAGATATTTTTATGGGTTTCATTTCAGGTGCCCTAATGCATGAATTATCAAATGATGGTGCTCGTAGGCAGTTTGAATTTTATCTGGAAGAAATGATCCTGCCTCTTATGGTAGCTAGTGCCCAGAGTGGGGAACGAGAATGCCACATAGTGGTACTTACAGATGATGATGTGGTTGATTGGGATGAAGAGTATCCACCACAGATGGGAGAAGAATATTCACAAAGTAAGTATTGTGGCATGTTTTTTTCTGTAGGACATCACAAATTCTCTTACCACCAAGCAAAGGACAGTTTTTATTTAGTGCATTGAACCCTTACCTAATACCAAGAATCAACAAATTATTGCCTGTGGGCCAAATCCAGCCCATTGCTTGTTTTTATAAATAAAATTTTATATATTGTGACTGCTTTATGCTATAGTGGCACAATTGAGTAGTTTGCAACAACCACCACATGGCTCAGACAGCCCTAAGTATTTACTATTTGGCCGTCTATGGAAAAAGTGTGGCTACCTGTCATGAACAGAGATGGTTTGCTCTTTGTTGAATATATGGATCTTGATAAATGTTCTCTTGGACTTTAGAACCATCCTAGAGAAGCAGAACTGGAAGTAGTAGATTATGAAAAAGATTTTTAAAATATGGTGTCATTGATTTGAGGGGTGACTTTCAAGCTCTGAGATGTTTCTTTTTTAATACCACATACATTCTTGGAGAAACAGTGGCCTGTAGGTATATCTGACCAAAACCATTACCTTGGGTCGTAATGACCATATTTTTCTTATTGCCCTTTGAAATGTTTTCTGACTATCCTTTTGACTTTTCTTGTTGGGAAATTTTCCTCATGTATTTCTTTATGAACCCAGTGTGATACTTATGACCACTTTTATAAATTGAGAAGAGTTGTAAGAATGGTTCAAAGAATAGAATGGAGTAGCCCATAACCTTGTTCTGTGCTTGTCTTTGTTCACTTGATAAGAATTAGAATTTAAATAAAAAAAAATACAGGATTAGGGCCACTCTGGTGGCACCAGGGGTTAAAACGCAGCACTGCAGCACAAATTCAATCGTAGGCCAGGGAGGTGAGCCATGTGGTACAGCAGACCTCTTGTCTTGCCCCCTGCTCCCCTCCGCAGTATACTTCAGTCAGTCTGCCTGTCCTGCTCCCCACTCTTTGTCTCTCCTCCCCCCACCTCTGGTCTGAGATGTTTCTTTTTTAACACCACATATGTTCTTGGAAAAACAGTGGCCTGTAGATATATCTGACCAAAACCATTTATTTTTGAATAAGAAGAAAAATTTAGTCATCACTACCCAAGGTAAATGGTTTTGGTCATAAATACAGCAGGTATTTATGCATATCCCAGCTCTTATATGCATAAATATTTTTTAAAAAAAACCAGGATTATAGCAAGTACTAAATCCCTTTATGATTTTTCTATTTACTTAGCCTTTCATAAAATCCTAAAAAGGCAGACTCCATGTAGTGTTCTTCATGATTTGAAATTTTTAGTATTTAGCATTTTCAAAAACGTTAATACAATTTTTGGTAGTTCCTTTAAGAACTTACATTGAGTTATTTCCACTTATATATAATAAGTCTCATGATACTTTTTTGAGTAGTTATAGAAATAGACATTTCTGTTGCCTATTTCTGTTCCTACACTATTAATAATAGTTTTCTATTATATGAATAAAAATGCAGGAAAAATACAGATTAGCAGAAATTAAAAGATATGCACTAAATTTTTCCCATTAAGGGAAAGGAATAAACAAACCGTATTTTTTTTTTAGATTTCAAAAAGTTTGACTTGAAATTATAGCCAAATGACTTAGTGATTGCTGTTGAAATTATTAGACATGTATTTTCCTTTTCAGTTGTTGAATTTTCCATTTTAATGTTTAACTTTCAAGCTTCAAGTAGGGACTGAAAACATTCTGAGTCTGTGTTTAATTTTGTGCCCACACGACCCAACCTAAAGATTTACTTAAGGCAATAGCCTCTTCAGCCTGATTTTCCTAAATGTGACATGACAGCATCCATTCTGAGATATTAATAGATCTTTATCTTAAAATATCAGTAATCATAAGCATATAGTAGTAATCACAAAGTTACCCCACCAGTAGCATCTATATATGTATTTTCCTTTTATTGGCTCTTAAGCCAGCATGTTTGGTTTGTGAGTGTGTTTTTCTTTTTTTGAAAAAACCTTTGCAGTTCACCTTTTAAGGGCGATAACTCCACCTGAAAAAGAGAAGGCGAGGAAGGTCCATCATTCTAACTCCCTGAAGTTCCCAGCATATATGGAAGACTCAACATGTTGTCAGTGGAATGTCTGTCCTTTGCAAAGCCAGTTTGCTCTAAACAGACTAACCTAGGCAGAACATGCTCGAATCTGCCATATTTAACATCAGTATTAAAAGTGGGGCTGTTCGCCTGAATGGAAAACAGTTTGTGGGGAGGGTCTTTGCCTTTTTTGGGGAAATATTAATAGTTGCTCAATCCATGAAATACAAAATATGCCTTTTGTACTCTCCAACAATGAAGTGTATTTCCCTCTAGATAAGGGCTTTGTAGGCGGCATAGCAAAGTCTACCCTGCCTACTTGATAATGTCATCTTGCTATCTTCTTTTGATTATGTTCTTTGAAGAAATTGGGGCAGATCCCATTCTCTAATAAACTTATATGATCTGTTATATAATAAACTTATATGATTTGTTAGGAGATTTTTCCTATGGATTGGGTTACATGATTGGTTAGACAAGCTTGTTTCAGTCTAAGTAGATCTTTGCTTATACATTAACTGTACTGAATTGTCATGTTGGCTAGTCATCCTTTGGCATCCATTGCATCCATTATTTGGGCTTTTAGGGTTGTCAGGCCCCTTTGATGATCAAGATAAATTTTTTAAGTTCCTCTCTGAGTACTTTAATTTTAACAAAATATTTTTCTTTTTGTTTCTAGTTATTTATAGCACAAAATTATATAGATTTTTCAAGTACATTGAAAACAGAGATGTGGCCAAGTCAGTTTTGAAAGAAAGGGGTCTTAAGAAGATAAGATTGGGAATAGAAGGT